CCATTTTACACTCCCACCAGTAATATATGAGAGTTCAGTTGCTCCACATCTTTGCCAACATTTATTGTCAATCCTTTTAAATTCATCCACTCTAAGTGGGACAAAGATAGTATCTCACTGTTGTTTTAATTTGCATTTCTTTGATGCCATTTCCATTTTCCATTTGTATATCTACCTTTGTAAAGTATGGTTATTCTCCTGTTCATTTTTAAAACTAAGCTGTTTATCTCATTATTAGTTGTAAGAATGCTTTGGATACTTTGGATACAAGTTCTTTGTCAGCTATATTTTGCAAATCTTTTCTCCCACTTATATGTGGATTTTTATAAAAACTCAGCTTACAGACACAGGAACAGATTGGTGGGAGGTGGAGGATCAGCGAAATGGCAGAAGGTGGTCAAAAGGTACAAACTTCCAGTTATAAAATAAATAAGTCATGGGATGTAATGTACAGCATGGTGAATATAGTTAACAATACTGTATTCTGTATTTCAAAATTGCTAAGAAAAAAAAGAAGAAACTTATAACTATGTATGGCAATGGGTGTTAACTAAACTTAATGTTGTAATCATTTACAATATATTAATGTATCAAATAATTATATACCTAAAACTAACATAGTGATATATGTCAATTATATATATTTGAAAAAGTCATTCCATTGCCTTCTGGGCTATCATTATTTCTGATGAGAAATCAGATACACATCATTGATCTTCTGTCACATGTAGCTTTATTCTGGCTGCTTTTAAGACTTTATCTTTGGATTCAGCAATTTATGATAGGTTTAGGTGTGATTTTCTTTGTATTTATCCTTTTCGGTTTCTTTCTGCTCTTTGGATCCATACCTCAATGTCTTTCATAAAATTTGGTAAGTTTGCAACTACTATTCTCATTTATTCCAGGACTCCAATTTCATCCTTTTATGGTCCAGTTGGAATTTGACACTTTATTTTTCTTCAAATTTTTTCTTTCTGTTCTTCGAATGGGAGTTTCCATTAACTTATATTCAAGTTCACTGACTCTTTTTTTCCTACTTCCTCCAATCTGCTATTAAATCCATACAGTGAGTTTTTCATTTTAGTTACTGTATTTTTCAGTTCCAGAATTTCCATTTAGTTTTTCTTTTAATATTTTCTCTACCTTTGTTGAGATCCCACATCTACCCATTCATTATGCATTTATCTTCTTTTCAGTCCTTATAAGAATTTATAGTGGCTATTTTCAAATCCTTTTCTGATCACTACAACACCTGGATCATCTTGAGGTCAGTTTCTCTTCACTACCTTCTTCTTGAATCTGGATATTTCCTTTTTCTTCACAGGTTTAGTCATTTTTTTGTTGACTTCTGGACATTATCTTTGATACATTATAGCACCTCTGATCTCTGTTACATTCTTCTGGAGAGTGATTTTCAGTTCTTTCTTCCATTTTTAAATCAGGTTATTTGTTCTTAGTTGTAATTATTTGTGTATTTTGGATAACAGTCCTTTATTAGACGTGCCATTTGCAAATATTTTCTCCCAGTCTGTGTCTTGTCTTCATATATTTTTGACCATGTCTCTGCAGAGCAGAAATATTTAATTTTAATGAAGCTTAGTTTATCAATTATTTCTTTTATGGCTTGTGTTTTTGGTGTTATATATAAAAAGTCATTGCCATACTCCAATGTTACCTATTTTCTCCTATGTTTTCTTCTATGAGTTTTATAGTTTTGTGTTTTGCACTTAGGTCTATAACCCATTTTAAATTAATTTTTAGGAAGGGTGTTAGGTCTGTGTCTAGATTCATTTTTTTGTATGTGGATGTCCAGTTGTTCCAGCACGATTTGTTGAAAAAACTCTTTCCTCCATTGTATCGCCTTTGTCTTTTATCAAAGGCCAGGCGACTATGTTTATGTGAATGTATTTCTGGGCTCTCTGTTTTGTTGATCTATTTGTCTATTCTTTCTCCAGTACCAGCTGTCTTGATCACCATAGCTATATATTAAGTCTTGAAGTTGGGTAGTGTCAGTCCTCTGACCTTGTTCTTCTCTTTCAATACTGTGTTGGCTATTCTAGGGTGTGCGGGTGTTTTTTTGTTCTTGTTTTTGCCTCTACATATACACTAAATCAGTTTGTTGGTGTCCACAAAATAACTCGCTGGGATTTTGACTGGGATTGTGTTGAATCTATAAATCAAGTTGGGAAGAACTGACATCTTGACAATATTGAGTCCTGCTACCCATGAACAAGGAATATCTTTCCATTTATTTAACCCTTTGTTTTCTTTGATCAGAGTTTTGTATTTTTCCTTATATAGATCTTGTACATATTTTTTAGCTTTCTAATCAAGTGTTTAATTTTGGGGAAATTATATTGTGTTATATTGTGTTTTTAATTTTAAGTTCTACTCATTCATTACTGGCATATAGGGAAATTATTGACTTTTTTTTTTTTTAAATAATCTCTACACTCAATGTGGGACTCAAACTAACAACCTGAGATCAAGAGTTGCATGCTGTACTCGCTGCAGAGCCAGCGAGGCACTGCAGATATGATTGGCTTTTGTATATTCACCTTCCTATAATCACTTATTGTTTCAAGAATTTTTGCTGTTGTTGTCAATTCACTGGGATTCTCTACACAATCATGCCATTTGTAAACAAAGGCGGTCTTATTTCTTCCTTCTCAATTTTTATACATTTTATTTCCTTTTCTTGTCTTAAGGCATTCAAGTATGATATTGAAAATGAGTGGTAAGAAGGGACATTCTTTCCTTGTTCCTGATCTTAGCAGGAAAACTTCTGTGAAATTCATAAGTACGTCTGAGTTTCCCCTCCTTAGGTGGGACAGGATGGGAGAGTGAGTGTAACATGAAAGGTTACAGCAGGCTGGAGTTGAGTATTTCCTTTTACCCAGATTGATTAAGCTCTGATAAAACTCCAATAGTTTAGGCTCTGGTAAAAAGTTTCTCTTTAAGGAAGGCCTTGTTAAGAAGAGCAGAATATTCTGGCATGTTTCAAAATGGTTCCTTTTCTCCTCCTCTGGTGTAAGAGGACTTTTCTCTGATGTTCACCGTGAGAGCCTGATCAAAGTGCTGGAGGTAAAACTCACTAAATTGTAGGGATGTCCCTAAGATTGGATACCCCCAGAGTTTGTAATCTCTCAGAGTTGTCCACATTAAACCTCCACCAATTCATCAGCTACAGTTCAGATTTTCCTATCCTCATATTGATTCCTGCAGGGGTTTATATACCAGTCAGTTGTGATTCTCTGTATTTGACTATCTCTTCAATTTTGAGAGCCACAATTTGCCTTGTGATCTCATTTTTCTGACAAATCTAAGAAGAGTTGTTGATTTTTCAATTGTTTAGCTTTCTACTTATTGTTATAATGGAGTGACCATCTCCAAGCTCCTTGCATGCCGTACTAGAAAGTAGAAACCCATTTTTTTTTAACGTTTTTTAGTTTCACTCAATCAATAAGCATTTCCTGAATCATTGTTATATTCCAAGCAGTCTGCTAGATATTGAGTATACGAGGATAAATCCTTACTGCTGAAGTTGATAGACCAAAAGGAAGTATAGACAAATTACGATACTAAGTATAAGTTATGAAAGAAGTAAGCACAAGCTGCCACAGGAGCACAAAGTCTGGGACTGAGGGTTGAATTCAGAGAAGCCTTCCCCAAAAGGGATAGATTCAAGTGAATCTTGACTAATATTAATTCAGACAAAGATAAAGTGGTAAGTGTGATAGACATCGTGTGTAAGGTAAATACCATTTGCACCATGTGCAAGATTACTTTAAGAAACTGCAAGGAAAATAAAGTTGTTTGGAGCACAAGAGAACATGGAGGGAGAGAATGAGCCTAAACGTCACTAGGCTTTCTACTTCATGACAATAAGAACCATGTTCAGCAGGAAACAGATGGCTCACTCAAACTAGTTAATCTGAGAGAGTTAAGGAACTATTTATAAAGTCCTCTTTGAACTGAAAAGGATTTGGGGAAATGATCAATGAAAAGTCATTACCATTCCTAAACCTGATCATACAAGTGAAAGGAGCAGTTAATAGAACAGAAAAGGGTGGCTCTGTGGAGAAGGCTGCCTGTGAGGAGCTCTACTTTAGGTAAAAGAACACAGACAACCATCTGTAATCTGGTAAGGAGAGAATCAGGGAATAAACACACAGACCTCTGGACCTCTGATCTTCTGCCCACATCTGCCATTGGTTAAACCTAATCAGGGACTGGATGGCAAGGGAATCCGTTGATGTAGTCCATATCAGTCAGCCTCCTTGAACAAGAACAAGGATGAAGAGTGGATACAAAGGGATAAATGAAAGATATCCAACACATCACTACACCTCAGTACCGAACACACAACACCTGGCACAGAGGAGGTATTGAATGATAGAATGAGGTCAGATAGGAAGCAGAAGTCTAATCTTGCTGGTTTTAATTAATTCATGTTAAGAAGTTAGGACTTTACCTCATAGCAGTGGGGTGCAATCAGAACAGAAGAGACACACATCAGATTTGCAACTTAGAGGCAAATTTGTCAAGAATAAACTGAAGCCTTATAGCAGAAGTAACAGGTAAAAGGCTGTTATAGCAATCTAAGACAGATATGACAACAAGATGTTCTAAGAAAAAGGAAACAAAAATGAGATGGACTTAAAAGCATCAAAGAGTTGGAATTGCAGGAGATGGTGTGATTGACTGGCGGGAGACAAGAAAAGAACATAGGAAGGCGGTATAGGATGAAAAGAAAAGAGGTCTTGAGACCTCTCAGGTGTGGTGTGTCTATAGGAAACTTGGGTTTATCAGGCAGTTTGCTAGGTGTTTGGAACTCAGTAGACATCTGGATTGAAGGAAGGGATTGGACTAGATCTAGCAAATGAGACAGAGACACTGTACACTTCCTGTTAGTTCTGTTTCCTGGTGTGGGGGAGGGGCAGGAAAGTGTGTTAGGTCAGAGTGGGTTAGGTTCTACGGCAGTTGAGAAGAGCAGTGACCCAGAAACTAAGATGGAAAGAAGGGAAGGAAATGCCATGCCCTTCCACAGAGTTTACAATTCCAGCATCTTGGGTTACCCAACATATAGGGTGAGGTAGCCTTTTTGTAGGCTAAGTAGTGTGGGGTTCTTTTGCAGGAAGCAGCTTGTGTATGGCATGGGGGAAATGTCAAGGTAGGAAAGGCAAAGATCACTCTAACTTTTTTTTTTTTAACTGGGGACAGTTAAAAAGGAATATATTTACAAGTTGTGGGAGGCTCTGGAGAAAAAGACCCTGATGTGTGAAGGGAGGAGGAGTTCCCACCTAGTAGAGGACCCAGGGCTTGTCTTTTCTGTGAGCAGAGGTGGAGATGCCTGAGATGACATTCATGATGTCCTCCTCCCTTCCTCACCACAGCCAATTCTCCCCTACCGCATGTACCACTTCTCTTCCATGTCACCATACCAGCAGCAGTTTCTGGAGAGGACCAGAAGCTACATGCGCATCTTCTGTGCTGGCCTCTTGGGCTTCATCTTTGTCCTGCTGATGTGCTTGTCCCCTTTACATTGGGTGCAGTTCATGGTAATGAAAGATAAGAAGAAGCTCTTTGCGGGGCTCTGGACCGTATGCCACCATGATCTCTGCTGGAGCCATGTGCCAAAAGCACCCTGTGAGTGCCTTCCAAATCCTAGAGCCCCCTCCTTTGGTAGATCTGTTCAGATCCCTCACAGCCTTGCCTTTCTCCCTTTCTCCTTCCCACAACCCTACCTCTTCTTTTCTCCCCTGATTCACAAGCATGTAAGGACAGCTCCTCCAAACAGGGTAAATTTACCCAAGTTTGTCTTGACTAGACTTCTCCAGCGACTTCAAAGCCACAGCTCCTTAATTATTGGAAGCTAATGCCTAGTGACCTTGTGCTTTTACTTACCTCTGTACTCACAACTTCCTTAAGGGGAAGCATAGTAATCGTTTGCACCTTAATATGAAAGTTACCTCATAATACACCTCTCAAGTTATAGTTATAATTTCAACTTTTCTCTCATTGTGGAATAAATTATTTCCTTCCCTGTTAAAGGAATTCCACATGTCAATGAGGAGATGGAAAGAGGGTCCTTACTGATGCCTGTGAAGCCACCCACTTGGTGGCTCCTTAACTCTGACTCCATTATATGTAAGACAAGCACTAATTCCGTCCTCCTTTGCCCTTCAGTCCCTTCCCTAGAACCTGTCTAGCTTTATTAGGGGGCAGGTCACCTCTGCTCCATCCAAGCCTCTCCTTTTCCACTTCTCCTGGCAGACTACCTCCAATACTCCAGGGCCTTCTTCCTCATCTCTGTCTTCATCATCCTCATTATTATTATATGGCTCAGCATCTCTCCCACCAAAGGGCCAGGAGACAAAACCTACATAGATCTGGGCATATCCATCTTCTCCTTCATCTCAGGTACAACATGATGAGGTTGGAAAAGTTTGTCCCTGGAGTCCTTGTAGTTCTTCTCCTTCTGGGCCAATTTTCCTTATTTTACCAAGTCATTCCCTGCCTCACATCAACACTGCCATCATAGGACAGTGTCTCTTCACACAAGGAAGAAGGCTTTTGATAAGCTTTTACTCCTTATGGGGCTATTGCCTCTTTAATGGGGGGACCCTGAAGAGATTAGGGTCCTAACTCAATGGAAACATCTCTAGGAGTTGTTATCTGATGGACTAGCAGAGGAGATTTCCTAGGCTGGAGGCCCTTCTGGCATGAAGAAAAATTTCTTTGTAGCTAGCTAGTAACTGCTCTATTGGTCTTATCTATAGGCCCCACCTTGATAACCTTATTCCAATCAAAGCAGAAGCCTTTTGCTCTCTCATCTTAGTTAATTGCCAAATGGGTCTTCCCATGACCACTGCCATGGAATAAGCCTCCATGGCATAATTGAGATGGTTGAGGTGACAAGGAAGTGCAAAGAGAGGGAAGAGGGTGGAATGGGAGGGATGGCAGAAGGAGGGTTATGATGGGTAGTGATAGCTTTCATTCTGATCCCAGGCACCTGCCTACTCCTCTGCCTCATTTTGTTCCTGATGCAAGTGAAATTGTACAGTAGGAACGTCTTGGAGTCCCATTTCTTATTAGCCTACCGCCTCAGTTGGTGGGGCAGTGTCTTCTACATGATAGCTGGTGAGTTAATGCTCCTGTTAAACAGTGAAGGCACAGAAAAGGCATTTCTACATAGTTGGTCCCCCTCTCTCTCTTCTGCTTTCTTTTGGTTGTATGTTTGACATGTTAGAATCTCATAATTTGGAAGGGCTCTACAAGAGTTATTTCTATGTCAGTGAACAATTCTTAATAGCAAGTGCTTCGAATTTAAAACATTTTTTCTATAATGATACCTGTCCCTACACAGGAAGGAGCAAGATTCAGGAAGTAGAGGAACAAGGAAAAGACATTAATTGAGCTATGAATAGTTTCTCTGTCCTTCCAGAAGACAGCTCTTAAATTTCCTTTTTATTATACCAAATAACCTCTCCAACTTATGGATCTCCAAAATAAAGCTTCAACATATGACATATGTTCCTCTGTAATATTACCAATATAAAGCAGGGCTATAATATAGGAGTTTTGTTGGTGCAACATTTCACCTTTAATCCTTCTAGGCCACATACTTATTTTTATTCATTAATTAACAGTGGTCTCCAAACCATTGCATCATACACCCTATTAGTAAAACACTTTTTAGCAAGCATTCTGAAAAGACACATGTTTATTTATAAAATATGTACATGTATTATACCATTAATATATTCATTACATTGTAAAATATACTCAAAATGGACCTGAAAACAAAACATTTTAAAAATACAAAAAGAAACTACTATTTTCCTCCTGTGCCCCAATGAATTGGCTTGCATACCCCTTGGGAAATACTGTACCTACAGAAGAGCTGGGATCAAGGTTTTGAATCCCAGGTCCCTAAAGATAATGAACAGGACATTCAGAAATGTAAAGCAAATTCTATTATAACTAAGCCAGTACATCAGGGGAGTTTGATGACTTAAGATTTTATCTATTACTGATCTACAATGCTGACCCTGACCTTCTCTTTTTCTCTAGGGTTCCTCTCTGGACTCAATCACATAAGTTCTCGGGTTTCTTCTCCAGATCAAAATCTCCTTGTGATTCCTATAACAAGGACAAGAATAGGAAATATAACCAGAGTAGACCAGAGGCTAACTGAAACAAATGTAGGTGTTTCTACGTGTATGAGTCAGGCACCAGAAAGGCAGCTGGGTTCAGTGGTACAATCAAGTGTCTGTGTAGAGAAAGGGACTCAGACACAGGCAGTAACCCCAAAAGTGCTAGAAAGTCAGATTGAACCAGAGGTCCAGGCTGAGTCAGGGACCCATACAGAGCCAGAGATAGGAAGTGAATCAGCAATAAAAGATGGGTTAATAACTACAAGGTTAGCTACTGAGATAGAACCAATTAACACAGTAGAGCCAAGGCCTGAGGCAGAGGGAATTGGGAGTGTGGCTGAAGATATGTCAAGCAATACCCTTCAGGGTAATGAAAACAAAATGACCAAAAACTGGGATTATGAGGATATAGATTCAGCTGAGAAAAATGAGGATGACAAGACAAAAAATTAATCTTAGTTATACGGTAATGAGAGCAGTGATATTAAAAAAACAAACAAACCCTAGCAGGCTTAAAGATGTTTTGTTGGGTCTGTAAGAAGTGTGGTAGGAGCATCAGAAGTAATTCTGATATAATAGTATGATGACTCTTTTGAACCCCACCCTGCCGGATTACACCTCCTTCATGGAGAAAGTTGGTATTATGGATGAAAGAAAGCCATTTGTATGGGTTAGGCCAAAGGTACCAATAATGTAAGGATCACAAGGAAAGAAATGCAAAGCTTATTAAAGGAAGTTTCCATGTTAGTGTTATGTGCTTTCAGTGGGAAAGGTTGGCAGGAGACGAGACGCCCAGGCCACCGAGCCTTTCCAGATTTCCATGACCACACATGGCACATCTCAGTGGAACTGAAAAAGCTTTCAGTGTGTAAATTCAAACTCTCATTCTTGATCCTTACTTCCCTAATTCATTAGGCTGACTTTTGGCAAGCATTTAACTTTCTTGGGCCTAACATCCTTCATTGACCAATTAGAGTCTGAGATTTCCTCTAGTGCTATTTATGGCCATGAATGATAAACAATGGAGAAGTTATTCCTTTGGCCATTGGCTCCTATGACCCCAGATTATTTTAGCAAGTCACTTAGTCTAGTCAGAGGAACTAAATTCAGTTCTCTATCTTCAAGGCTACTTTTGGCAACTCACTTCTTATTTTTTCACTTAGGTATCTCATTTAAAAATGTAGCTGAATCCCACTGTTTTTAACTGTTTGGAATAACTAGAAAGGAAGAAAAGAGAGAAAGGCAAAAGGACTGAGACTCTGTGACACAGTCTACCACATAGACCCAGGGAATTTCAGTGAGGCCTTAAACAGTTTCACAAAGGAGATTGTGGCCTTTGAAACCAGAAGTTAGGTTTTTGGTTGGAAATATTAGTAGTTCACCATGAAAACCCACTCTTAACTCCTTAAATAGTCACTATCTTACTATTGCTGGCTGCCTGCACCTCTAGCTAGTCAGTCAAATTTTATGACCCTTAATTTTGTCATCTTTAAAAGTGGCTTCAATAAATGATACCATCTCTATTCCACATATTTTACATATTTACTTTTCTGGTTAGATAAGGAACCAGGAGACAGAAGAAGTTGGACAGGGCAGGAAGCATTAAAAGATAATCCTCCCAGCAAATATGAATTAACAGATGTCTGCCTTAAAGTGCAAATTCTCTAAGGGGATAGTTAAAAGTTTGGCCATACTTTAATTTGTATTACTTAAATCAATTAGATATTTACATAGCCAAATGCGATTAAGCAGATGCTTTGATAGATGAGAGAGGAGAAAGAAGACACTTTGCAAAGGGAAGGTGTAGTGGGGGGAGAATTTTGAGAGCTTTCTGTCAGGATGAAGGGGCTGGTTACCTGGCGGAGGGGCAGGCATACTGAAAGAGTAAGAAGAAATGTGGGAGACTGGTAAAGACAAACTTCATCTCTATTACATCTTTGTCTACAACCATGAAAGTATCTGATGTTTGACTAGTTTGGAAACCTGTAACCGCCATTTTCTTGTATTCATACCCGTCTTTCCATGCATCATCCATTCATCAAAAAATTGTAAAAGAGTTACTGAACATTAACAAGTAGTTCACTGTGTAGAGGGGGATAGAGACAATAAGAGTAAAGGGTAAAAAACAGGTTTCTGGAATTCTCATAGCACACAGAAGGCTCAGCCCAATTCAGTCTAGGGGCTTAAAGGAAAGCCCCTGGAACTGGTAAAACATGAACGAGCTCTATTTTGAAAAAGAAAAATGATAACTAGAACTTCATCTAGGAGGAGAATCACTGAACAAGTCTTTCTTGTAAAATTGACTTTCCCAAAGTTTCTGGAAAGAGAATAATATTACAGCAACCTGTTCTTAAAAGGTAAGAAGGAAAAACAAAATTTACTCAGCCATTTTTGTTCCATGCTTGGCTTTCCTTTCTCCTTTCTTTGTCCTGTTTACCTTTTGCTACCCCATTCCTTTTTTGAGTAATATCCATTCCTTCCCACATTTTCCTACACATGGAAATTTTACCTTTTTTTCAAACCTTATACCCAATATCACCTCTGGGTTTCCTTATGGAGACCCAAGGGCTCAGGTAACTATTTGAAAACCTTGTATAAAACTCTGGGTTTTAGAAAAGGTCCATGATCTAGCATTAAAGGAAGGGTTTATTTCCTTTTCTGTTATATTTGCTCTTTGGAATATTTTTGAAAAGCTGTTCTGGGGCGCCTGGGTGGCTTAGTCGGTTAAGCGACCGACTTTCGCTTAGGTCATGATCTCGCGGTTCGTGGGTTCGAGCCCCGTGTTGGGCTCTGTGTNTTGAAGAGGCAGAGGGAAAATAGGTGAAATAGAAGATAAAATTATGGAAAAAGAGGAAGCTGAGAAAGAGAGAGATTAAAAAATCTGGATCACAAGGGGAGGGTTAGAGAACTAAGTGATTCAATGAAATGGAACAATATCGGGGCGCCTGGGTGGCTTAGTCGGTTGGGCATCTGACTTTCGCTTAGGTCATGATCTCGCGGTTCGTGGGTTCGAGCCCCGCGTCGGGCCCTGTGCTGACTGCCAGCTCAGAGCCTGGAGCCTGTTTCTGTCTGTGACTCCCTCTCTCTCTGACCCTCCCCTGCTCACGCTGTCTCTCTCTCTGTCTCCTAGAAATAAATAAAACATTAAAAAAAAAAAAAAAGAAACGCTGTTCTATAAGTTCCCCTTCTAAGAGTAGATGAAAACAACATAAAACAATATTAAACCGTGATCCTTTTCTTTCTAGTCCTTCTGTGGTGGGAAATTGCTATAGTTCCTCTACACTTAGAGGAGGTATTTGCCTCACTGCTCTCCTCTTCAAGGATCCTGGGCCCCCCTGCGTGGCTAAGCTAGCTCAAAGGGCCTGCATTTGCAGGAGGGACTAAGGAAGAGAGTATCGATGCCTCATTCCAGAGTGTCAGTGCTTCCTCTTCCTCCTCACTGTCCCAACTTACTCTCAGAACTAAATTAAAAATTTTAGTGTCACGGATGAATAAAGACAGTATAATCAACATTCAAAAACCAACAGCTAATTTAAATTAGCCATATAACCAGTAGCAAAACTGTAACAATAAAGCTAATAAGAGTAAAGAAAATACATAATGAAAACAAACGTGAAGGATCTATGTGAAGAAAACTAGAACTTACAAGACAGAACAGAAAACTTATTTAAATAGGAATATGCCACTTAATTAGTCACATTCCAGCCTCCTCTATAGCTAGAGCTGATCATATTACATGTTTGTGGCCGATGAGACATCAGAGGAAGTATGCTGTGGAGTCACAGAGAATATGTATTTGCTTGGCAAACACTCCTGGTGCTTCTCCCAGCTTTTTCATTCTGCCTTGAATGCTAGTGTGATGGCAAGAGCTGCAGCAGATCATCTTAGAAACACGAAGCAACAAGCATGAAGTAGAAGCCAGCATCTGAGGATGGCATAGCAGAAATGTAGAAAAAAAGCTTAAGTCCTTAATGACATTGTGGAGCTGGTGAAACAATGCCAAGAATGACCTCCTTCCAGAATTCCTGTGAAATTCATGTGAAAAAAAAAAAAAAGCCTTAATTTTAAAGACAATGTCAGTTGGGGTTTCTATTACTGGCAGCTACATACTTTTCTAGCAAATGCAAAGTATAAATACTACAAAACATAAATATAAAATCAGATGGTGGAAGAGAAGGAAAATGAGGGGAAATATTCTAGTGCTGATTTAATCATTCCCATAATAGGAAGTCATTAGACCCATCTGTAACAAAGGGAATTAGAGAGGTGCCTGAGTGACTCAGTTGGTTAAGCATACAACTTCAGCTCAGGTTATGATCTTGCAGGTCATGGGTTTGAGCCCTGTGTCAGGCTCTGTGCTGACAGCTCAGAGCCTGGAGCCTGCTTCAGAGTCTGTGTCTCCCTCTCTCTCTGCCCCTTCCCTGCTTGCACTCTGTCTCTCTCTCCTTCAAAGATAAACATTTTTAAAAAAATTTTTATTTGCTCATTTTAGCCACGAGAAACGGGCACCCTCCTACACTGTTGGTGGGAATGTAAACTGGTACAGCCCCTCTGGAAAACAGTGTGGAGGTTCCTCAGGAAACTAACAATAGAACTCCCTTATGACCCAGCAATAGCACTGCTAGGAATTTACCCAAGGGATACAGAAATGCTGAGGCATAGGAGCACATGTACCCCAATGTTCATAGCAGCACTCTCCACAATAGCTAAAACATGGAAAGAGCCTAAGTGTCCATCAACAGATGAATGGATCAAGAAGATGTGGTTTATCTATACCATGGAATACTACATGGCAATGAGAAACAATGAAATCTGGCCATGTGTAGCAACATGGATGGACCTTGAGGGTGTTATGCTGAGCGAAATAAGTCAGGCAGAGAAGGACAAATATCATATGTTTGCACGTATAGGAGGATTAGGAGGAACTTGACGGAGGAACAAGCGGGAGAAGAAGGGCGGAAATGGTGGGGGAAAGGGAGAGAGGCAAACCATGAGAGACTCTTGAATGCTGACAAAAACTGAGGACTGATGGATGTGGGGGGGAGGGGGGGATGGGCATGGAGGAGGGCACTTTGGGGATGAGCACTGAGTGTTATGTAGAAACTAATTTGACAATAAACTATTTGTAAAAAAAAAAAAATAAAATAAAATTTGTGAAAGTAAATAAATGTAAAGTACACTTAAACAATCAAAAAAAAATTTTTAAAGGGAATTAAAGATATATATAAAGTTATCATTATAAGTGTATTCAATAGAAAAGATGCAAACTTTCCAACTTACTAGAAGAAACACAAAAAGTGAAGGAAGCACAGACCACATTTTGAAGGAAATTTATAACAGAAGCATATCTGAAAATAATGATATCCTCAAAACCCAAATAACTCATTAATGAATGTGAATACTTAATATTTAACTAATAAAAGAACTACATGTTTCAGATTGGACCACAAAAC